CTTGGTATCATTAGATGCGCCAAGGCTTTCTCTATCGATTCGTACAAAAACTATCTAAATTCAACAGCTCAACACCGAGAAATTTGAGCACAAAGTTGGATTGCCATTGAGGAAGGAGGCGGGGCCATTGTGCGACCTTTTATACACGCCCCGCCCCTTTTCCCATTGGCAATCTAACTTTAAGCTCAAATATCTTGGTGTTGAACTGTTCACTTTAAACATTCTTAGTATCATTAGATGCGCCAAGTCTTTCTCTATCGATTGGTATGGAAACTATTGAAATTGAATAGCCCAACACCAAGATATTTGAACTCAAAGTTAGATTGTCAATGGCGAAAGGGGAGCGTATCAAATGTTCCACAATCTTTCTATTGTGATGGGTTACTGTACCCCCAGTTGCTTTCTAGAATCACCTTGTGTTCAGCCAGCTATTTTACACAGCTTTTAATCAAAATTCTCGAAATTTCCAGCCGAAAGTGTGAAGGGACTTTACGACGGGGTTTCTGATGATTCCCAACATCCCGGGGACTCGGCCGGTTGGGCTGACATTTATTTTTAAATAGGAAATTAGGATTGACGCTGAAAATAGTTTGATTATAAGTTTTCCCAAGTTTCGTAGTACTAAAATAAATCTATAAATCTAAAAACCAATTTCAGCTAAAGTCGGCGAGTCGCTTTACGAAGACGGGAAGAACGCGAGTGAGACAGTCGGTTCGTTAAAAGTAGAAGAACTGAACAGTTCTAGTCGATCGTTAGATGATTAATATTAGTTTAAAACTGGCTATTACTATAATCTCAATCAATTATTGCAGCTGATAAAGCCAAAGATGCTGGCGAAGTGATTGGCGAGAAGCTCAAGGACACAAAGGAGGGAATGGGTGAGTTTAAAGCGATCAATATGTTTTCTAAATTTAAAAACAATCATAATCTCTCTAGCTTTCTATCTCTAATGGTCTGATTCAATAGAATGCCACGAAATGTCATTGGGTTGGTGAATTGAAAACTGCCGGAATTTGAACTAAAATTTATTCAACATAAAACCATGAATTCATTCCAAATAATTTCCATTACTATTGACGACTTCTGCCCATTTTACAGGCAATTTGCGGATTCCTCTTTCGTAGTAGGATTTTCGTTTTGAATCGAAGAACTTTTCGAGCCAATTTTTGACTGCTTCTTCCGAATCGAAGTGTTCTCCCGCAAGCTCATTACTCATGGTCCGGAGTAAATAGTAATCAGAAGGGGCAAGGTCCGGACTGTATGGGGAATGTGCCAAAAGTTCCCAATCAAGACTGTTTATTTTAGAGCGAGTCAGTTTTGCAAGATGAGGGCGCGCGTTGTCGTGGAGGAGAACGATCTTTGACTTGAAGGGCCTATTCTTCTTTAGGGATTCATTCACCTTTTCCAACTGTTCACTGTATTTGATTGCATTAAGGGTTGTCTTGCTATCCAGCAACTCCCAGTACACCACTCCCTCCATATCCCAAAGTGCTCAAACTGTGACATATGACAATAGACAATACGATTTTGGTTTGTGTGTGAGACTCAAAAATAGAGGACTGGAGATGTCCCAGTTTGAGCACCTTCTTCAAAAGAAACCCATTCTGGTGTCAATAGAAAAGTTGTAGAGAATCAAAAATTAGGCTTATAGCCAATTTTCCAAAAAGATACAGTTTCGCTTAAAAAGTTTTGTTGCAAGTTTTGTGAAAATTCGTCAATTTGGCATTTCTTAAAAACCAGTTTTTGAATCGTTCTGAAAATTTGGATATAAGCTTGATTTTTGATTCTCTACAACTTTTCCATTGACACCAAAATGGGTTTCTTTTGACGAAAGTGTGAGAACTGTCACATATGACAATAGCCCGCAGTTTTCAATTCACCAACCCAATAGTTAGGAATTAATTTCTATACTTTCATTAGGCTTTCAAGAAAGTCTTTTCGATCCTTTTCGTACTTTCATTGAAAAATAACAAATTCACCGAAATTCGAGAGTGAAAACACGTGCTTTTCGGAAAAATCTATAAAAACTTCTACGAAGAAATTGGCTGAATGAATTTTTCTGAAAATTTGGTTATAGATATCACGCTTTTTATGCTTTATCTTTTATCTATTGACATGAAGATAGATTTCCTCACAATTGTTAGCTAAAGTGTCTAAACCGCATCATCGAGCCGTCGCCCTTTTTGACTCTCCGACTTCACGCTTCCAAAACAATCCAGACTTAAGACATTTTAAACCCGATTTAATGTTATTTTGCAGTAAAATAATTGGCCTTTTTAATGAAACAAATCGTAGTTTAATTCGTGCATTTGTTGGTTTTAAACGAAAGTATAAAAGAGAACGAAAAGACTTTCTGGATAGCCTAATCGATACCTAGTTTTCGAAAACGTATTATTTGAAAAAACTAATAGCTTTCAATTGAAATAACTTTAGAAGGAGCTGCTGCTTACACAGCTGATTTGGTCGGTGACTATGCACAATCCTTGAAGAAAGGAGCACAAAACAAAATGAATCAAATGGCTGAAGGAGCGAAGATGACTGGAGAGAAGATTTGTGAGTCTTCACATCAGTTATTGTTCTAAAGTGATCTTAAAACTTTTCAAATATATCATTCCTTAAAAACGCAAGTACCGGTTCAACTTCTGAATCGATTCAATTTCAAATGTAATTTAGAATGAAATCTCTAGTTCAGCAATTACTTTATTCTCTAAAAAACAAAGTTGAAACTGGATAGCTAACAAAAAACTTAGCGTGAATACTGTAATAGTACCCAGCCCCATAATGACGGTGCGGAGTGTTGGGTAGTCTAGATTTGAACGAGCTTTTCTCGACACTGGTTTATGCTAAAATGCGCGCTTAGGTATCAAAAAATAGCTGAAATTCAGGGCTATTTTTTGATACCAAAGACGCATTTTTTGAAAGTACGGGCGCTTTGAAAAAAATGAAACACTAAAAACTTTTGCGCCTACGTGACTGTACGAGGGAGGAGAGGTACTAAGTAAAACTAATGAAGATATTTCAGCGGAAGGAGCCGGAGCAGCGGCTGGATTCGCTGCACAAACAGGTGAAGGAGCGGTGGAGAGTGCAAAGAATGCTGGTGGATATGTTGGTAAGAGATTCTACTTTGACAAGAGACAAAAGATCTTTCAGCTGACAAGGCACAGAATGCAGGAGATAGAGCTGGTGAGGGATTTACAATATGATTTTTAAGTTCAAGCCCAAGTTTAGTTCATGGAGCGGAGGTGATCGGTGGAGCCGCGTCGGATGCGGGCGAACAAGTCATGGAAGGAGCGAAGACTTATGCTGAGAAAGTCGCCGAAGGAACGAGGAAACTCGGCGATAAAGCTGGTGAGCTGAAATTGTTTGTTTGTCTGGTAGAATGTCTGGCAAGTTGTTTAAAATTCCGTGCTGGGTACCAGGTTTTTTTGGAAAAGACTTTAGTTTTTAGATTTGGCTTTATTGGCCCGGTTTGGTACGATACTGGGGTTTTGGCGCTTTTTCAGAATCGCTGATTGTAGAGATTCAGAACAACTGATTGTAGAGAATGGAAAGTTTAACCTAAACGTGCCAAACAACTGAAAAACAGCAATTGTTTGCAATATAGATAGGTTTTAGATTTGGCAGAGTGTTCAATAATTACAGAGTGTTCAAGAATTCCCTGGACTTCAAGATTTTAAGCGTAACTCAGCACTCAGATGTGTAATCATCTTACTCTTTCTTTTAATCGAAAATTTAAAGGTTTTTCTATAATAGGATTCTTAGGTTTAACAAAAAAACCTTTTCTGCCTTTTTTTCTCGAACCTCAAAGTTGGCAATCAGGAGTTGCACTTGTTTTTAAAGAATTTAACAAAGATTTTGATGTTCATCAATGTTTCAGCGCTAAATTCAGTTTTATTGGGTTACATTCGTCTAAAGGTTAAAGATTCACATTTAACAGAGAATGAAAAATGAAAAATGAAAGTTTTTGGTTTACAGGGTCATCTTTTGACAAGCCAACGCTTAAGCTTCCCAAAATAGCTTGATTTTTGCTTAATTTTAAGTCAAGTTATCTTCTGATATATTTGATAATGCTTAAAACGTATTGTAAAAGCCAAAGCGTTTAATGAAATGCTCAATGTTTGGGTTTTTTGGGGATGAAATGCGAAAGACAAATGCCGCATCAAGCTCTCGCATCAAGCTCTCGCATCAAGCTCTCGCATCAAGCTCTCGCATCAAGCTCTCGCATCAAGCTCTCGCATCAAGCTCTCGCATCAAGCTCTCGCATCAAGCTCTCGCATCAAGCTCTCGCATCAAGCTCTCGCATCAAGCTCTCGCATCAAGCTCTCGCATCAAGCTCTCGCATCAAGCAATTCTTCACTATCAACTTTGAGGCTTTATAAAACAGACAGAAAAGGTTTTCTTTGTCAAATTTAGAACAATACTTTAATTTTCTATTAAAACAAAGTGTGAAGGGATTGCAGATCTGAGTGCTGAGTTAGACTCAAAATACCGAGGCCGGGTAATCACTGAACTCCCTGTTAGCATAAGCTTCTTCTCTAGGGTTTTCTCTAGGGTTTTCTTTCTATTTCTTCTCTAGGGACTTGAATTTAAAGCATAGCGTCGCAAATATCTTATTCAATCGCTTTACACGATCAATTTCAGCCTACGGAGCCGGGTACACAGCTGGAGCGGGTGAGGGAGCGATCGGAAAGGAAAATCAAGAGAACACCAAGCCACATCAAGATTAAACATCTCAATCTTCATGGAAATCACTCGGTGTTTCTTTTTCATTGATTTCCCCCAAACCCGATCTCAAATGTACATAATTTGTATTCATTTATTTCCCTCTTTTCTTTTATTGCTACCTCTGTATTGTTTTGCATGTTTCGTTTGCCAATTTTTGATTTATAACCAATGATTTTTATGGTAGATTTGGGATGTTTTGGTTCAATAAATTTCGTATAGAGTTCAGCCAAGATATTGAGTTAATTGATGAGTTTATTTCAATAGAATCCATTTCAATCAATCCCTTCAATCCTTAGCCCCTCCATTGACATCGTTTTTCTCTCGAGATACAACTGTTTATCTCTGAAATGTCTTTGATATAAAGAGCACTAGTGAATTGTTTATTTTTTCAATATTATTATAAGAAATTAGAGATCAAGACAAGTCTTTCAGGACACCAGTTTTCTATCAATTCATTCATTGGCTCCTTTTCTATATAGATTTGGTTCCTTTTCTATATAGATTTGGTTCTTTTTCTCTACAGATTTGATTCCGTTTCTAGAAAAATTCAAGTAATGAGTTTTCTAAAAAATAAAAACTCTTGAAAGATACAAAAATACAAAGATTAGATAAAAATTGAGTAAAGATTTCCTAACTCAATTTTTATCTATTCTATCTATTAGGTTGGCGACATTGAAATTTCGTTTTTTTGCAGCAACAAGTTTATTCGTAAAAATAAACTAGAAACAATTAATCAACAATCTATTCCCCACAGCTATCAATAACATTTTTTCCTTCTTCAACGCAAATTATGGATACTCTCTTGAAAGAATTGTGCTGGTTTTGATTGAAAGAAAGCAGAGACCCATTTTTTGATGTCGTCAATGTTCTGGAACTTATGGCTTTCGAGTGAATGCCGAATACTTCGAAAGAAATGGTAGTCAGACGGGGCAATATCTGGACTATAAGGCGGATGAACTAGAAGTTCCCAGCCCCATTGCTCAATCTTCTCTCGCGTAATTTTGGCAACGTGAGGACAGGCATTGTCTTGTAACAATCGCACCGTTGTTGGATCAATTCCTTTTGAGCGAGGAACCGCGTCCGCGCGATCTAGTTGTTGAACGTAAAGATTTGCATCAACAGTCTGACCAGAAATTAACATTTCGAAATGGACCAGGCCTCGGGTATTCCACCAAACCGACAGCATAACTTTCTTTGCGTGAAAATCTGGTTTAGGTATTGGCTTTGGAATTTCTCCCGGGTCGAGCCATTGTCTTATCCTTGTAATATTGTCATAATGAATCCATTTCTTATCAGAAGTTAAAATTGCATCCCAAAATCCACTATTCTTGGAAATTCTAAGCAAATTTCCTGAACAAAGAACTCTGATGGCTTTGCTTGCATCGCTTAGTGAATGTGGAATCCATTTTCCAGCTTTATTGAGCTTGCCTAATTCATGCAAATGGTTTTCGGTTGTTTTATGATCACAATTAAAATATTCCGCAAGTTCATATGTAGTCTTTATCGGGTCACTTTCGATTATCTGCTCCAAATCGTCGTTTGTCCCCGTCCCAGATCTTCCAGACTTCCGTCACCCATTCGAAATCTTTTGAACCAGTTTTGACATTGATGAACAGTGATAACATCTTTCGCAAATACGTTACAAAGTGATTCATGCGATTCAGTTGCTGTTTTTTCATGTTTGAAATCGTACAGCAACAAATGCGAAGTCGATATTTTGAGGTCATCTAGCATCTATAAGATTTTTTTATTAAAATTCTTCAACTAGAAATAAAGAAAAGGCGCGTAATAAAGCACAATAATTATATCTTTAAAACAGAAGAGATTGCGGTGGTAATAGTATCCACAGTGTTAAAATCCATAAAGAGAAACGCAAACGAAATTTCAATGTCGCCAACCTAATACTTTTGCATCTTTCGGTCTTCTGATTGAATCATAACAGAGCATGCTAAAGAAAGCTTGAGCTATGGTAGCTTTTTAAAAGTTGCCACGTTTTAGAAAACGCATTACCCAAGTCAAATACAAGTATGGTTGAGCTGGCTTTAGGAAGCATACTTAACTCAAAGTATCATTATGATAATCAGAATCAGCCAACGATTTAAAAGAAGAGTCCGAATTAGGGACGATTCTCACTAAAACCAAATTATTTTCGGTTTAGCAGGATATTGAATTTGTAACAAAAATACACGAAAATTTAAGGCAAAAAATGATCCCCAGGAATTTGAGCGTAATCACGCCCAAGAATTGACTGGTCTGATGGTCCTCTTGGCGTTCGTGTCGGAGTGTGAAGATTGGCGTTTTTGTTCTTGAACTTGGTAGGGTCCCGAAAACAAGTTCGGCAAGCATAGGAGAAAATCAGTAGAATCTACTAACTCCGCTTTAATTCTAACTTTTCGTTTTTGATTTTTTTGCCCGCTCAGAGACGCAGTCGGATACCCCATTCTCCTTTCGGATGTGGGGCGCGGTCATCAACGGTGGTGCTCTAAAGGAGACACCGACCGTTCTTCACGCTCTCCGCCTGCCCATTCCCAATCATCGCAGGTGCAGGGTGTTGCAAAAATGTGGGTAAAGCGAAATACACACTACAGAAATGATCCTGTGAAGTATGATTTCGGTGAGAAAGGGGAAAGGGCGAGCTATCTATCGGGGCCGTGTGCCAGAAAGCGAGCGATTACGCGCGTGCACAGAGAACAAATGGGGCCGTTTCATGTAACTCGGTTTTTTTGCTTTTTTTGCATTGAAGATGGTACAAAAAACGAAAATGTTGAACTGTAACAACACGATCTAATGTCGGATCTCATATACAGATAACGTCAAGAAAAATAGGAAAGGTTGAAAAATAGAAGTGCATGCGCTTCTATTGGAATAAAAATGGTAACTTGATAGTAGCACATCACCAAAATAGAAATTTACGTTGATGTTGATTTTTTTGCCCGCTCAGAGAGGCAATCGGATACCCCATTCTCCTTTCGGATGTGGGGCGCGGTCATCAACTGTGGTGTTCTCTAGGAGACACCAACGGTTCTTCACGCTCTCCGCCTGCCCGTTCCCAATCATCGCAGGTGCAGGGTGTTGCAAAAATGTGGGTAAAGCGAAATACACACTACAGAAATGATCCTGTGAAGTATGATTTCGGTGAGAAAGGGGAAAGGGCGAGCTATCTATCGGGGCCGTGTGCCAGAAAGCGAGCGATTACGCTCGTGCACAAAGAACGACTGAGACCCATTTCATTGTACATTGGGAATTTTCTGGCATTGAAGATGGTACAAAAAAACGAAGATATTGAACTGTAAATTTGTACTCGGGGATTTTCGGGGTAGGCGAATCAATTGGAGCTATTCATTTTTTTGAGTCTACTAATTGGAACTCGGGGTTTAATTGTTGTTAAACTAAGATAAGATCCTAATTGTAAGCTGAGATACTAAGGCGAAATTGACTTGAAAAGCTGATTTTATCTCTTAATACCTGCTAAATGATTGATAAACCGATTTACCTTAGTAATTTCTATATAAAACTTCATCAAGTTGTTATATTATTACAAATGTCTGCGAAAAATTTGGTTTTAGTGAGAATCAGTCTAGATTCGGAGCCCTTCTTTAATGAATGAGTATTTTCGACTCTGTTTTTATCATATTAGCTTGCAATCAAGCCAGTGAATTGCGAATCTTACCCATTCCTCGAACCCACCTCAAATACGCATACTGTAAATAAGTTAGGAGGCAATTCCATATAGAAAACGGTACATAGAATACTAATTGAGCAATGGCAACTAAATTATACTGATAAGATGTGAGCAAGATGTGAACAAGATGCTTGAAATGCAAATTGTATCTAGTACTAGTACTTACTCAACAAATCCAAAGCACCCGGATGATTAGGATCAGTTCTGAAATAGAATGTTCTTACAAAAGTCACTCCAACTCACCCAACATTCATCCCAATCAAATAAAATGATATCATAAAGATTATCAGAAAATATATTGAAGCTAGGATCTGAATTTCTTTAGCTAAGTTTTTCGAAAGTTAACTCACCATTTGAATGATGTAAACTTGCATGTATAACGGCTTTTCACTCCGCAAACCAAAAATCAACCCAATGAACAGAAAAATGCACAATGTTAGGGAGAAAATGGAGATGATCTGCAAGAAAATGGATATGACCGGCCATATGCTAAATATTGGTCTTCTGTAATGAGATCTAGTATGTCTTCTGTAATGAGATCTAGTATGTCTTCTGTAATGAGATCTAGCTCATCTTACGCAGTTTTTCATCGAGATTCCGAATCTGCTTTCAAAATTGGCAAGACAGCTTTCTGGGAAAAGTTAGGAGTGTTTTAAGTTTCCGGCTGCCATCTAGAAAGTCCCTTTCACTCAGCGAAGATATGAGCTGAATGCAAATTGAGTCTAACGTCTATACAATCTAACGGTATGCAAATTTAGCTTAAAAGAAAGACTTTTAGAGGTATTCTGTTTTACTTGATGTACTTCTATTGTACTTCTAGTACTTCTACTTCTAATACTTCTACTTCTTCTACTTCTAATACTTCTATTGTACTTCTACTTCTAATACTTCTATTGTACTTCTACTTCTAATACTTCTACTTCTTCTACTTCTAATACTTCTATTGTACTTCTACTTCTAATACTTCTATTGTACTTCTACTTCTAATACTTCTACTTCTTCTACTTCTAATACTTCTATTGTACTTCTACTTCTAATACTTCTATTGTACTTCTACTTCTAATACTTCTACTTCTTCTACTTCTAATATTTCTATTGTAAAACAAGTGCTTTAAAGTATTGAAAAGCTGACAAAACTCACCCATTGCAATGCACCATCGAAAAGCTTTGGAACAACGAAAAGACGATATTGAATGAATAGCAAAAAGAATAAATTCACAAATGAAATCAAAAAGAAACCAATCTAAATAATGCTTTAAATGGATAATTGAATATTTACACTTTTGAAGGCAACAACCCGCAACAGCCACGATAATTTTTGGGTGAAGGCTTGAGTTGGATATTGATGTCTGGCCGCCAACACCAATTCATTGTCAAGAGAAATATTCTAAAGCTTTAAAAACAATTCCTTTTCGTGGGTTTAGTGCTTGTTTCTTCTCCATCTTTTTTCCCCAAATCGATCCTTTTATCAGCGCTTGTCAAGTTTTTTAGTGCCATCGAGTGAACACCTGGATTTGAAAAACATTGATAAACTATAAAATCTTTATCTTTACCCTTTACCCTTTACCCTTTACCTGTGAAGCTGTTTAGTCGAAATATGGGTAATTAAATTCTAGGAATCGCATGAAACCATTCTATTGGATTGGTGAATTGGAAACTGTGGGCTGTGGTCATATGTGACAGTTTGAGCACTTTCTTCAAAAGAAACCCATTTTGGTGTCAATGGAAAAGTTGTAGAGAATTAAAAATCAAGCTTATATCCAAATTTTCAGAACGATTCAAAAACTCGTTTACAAGAAATGCCCAAATTTACGAGTTTTCACAAAACTTGCATTTTAAGCGAAACTACTAAGTGTATCTTTTTGGAAAATTGGCTATAAGCCTAATTTTTGATTCTCTACAACTTTTCTATTGACACCAAAATGGGTTTCTTTTGAAGAAAGTGCTCAAACTGGGACACCTCCAGTCCTCCATTTTTGAGTCTCACACTTGTCTCACACACAAACCAAAATCCTACTACGAAAGAGGAATCCGCAAATTGCCTGTAAAATGGGCAAAAGCCGTCAATAATAATGGAAATTATTTGGAATGAATTCATGGTTTTATGTTGAATAAATTTTAGTTCAAAGTCCGGCAATTTTCAATTCACCAACCCAATAGCTCGTTAATCTAGGTTGACGTTTAATTTACAAATAAAAGGCTTTTAAAAACTTCAGTATCTAAGATTTTAAACATAAAACTAGTTATTAATGTCTTATTTTCTTTTAGATTTTCTTATTATTTGTTTTACATTGCAATAAGTTCTTTGATTCATCAACTAGTAAAAACTAGTAACTAGTAAAACTAGTAAAAAAAACTAGTAAAACAAACCGCTAATCGAACGAGCCTCAATGGAGCCACATTATCTGCATCTTCTGATTCAAGTGCTTGCTCATCAGCTCCTGGAAAATATAAAAGTTTTTATAAATTTTCAAATAACAAAGTCCCACTTTATTTTAAATAAAAATCAAGCTTATATCCAAATTTTCAGAACGATTCAAAAACTCGTTTACAAGAAATGCCCAAATTTACGAATTTTCACAAAACTTGCAACAAAACTTGCATTTTAAGCGAAACTACTAAGTGTATCTTTTTGGAAATTTGGCTATAAGCCTAATTTTTGATTCTCTACAACTTTTCTACTGACACCAAAATGGGTTTCTTTTGAAGAAAGTGCTCAAACTGGGACACCTCCAGTCCTCCATTTTTGAGTCTCACACTTGTCTCACACAAAAACCAAATTCGTATTGTCTATTGTCATATGTCACAGTTAAGCACTTTGGGATATGGAGGGAGTTGCTGGGAGTTGCTGGATAGCAAGACGACCCTTAATGCAATCAAATACAGTGAACATTTGGGAAAGGTGAATGAATCCCTAAAGAAGAATAGGCCCTTCAAGTCAAAGATCGTTCTCATCCACGACAACGCGTGCCCTCATGATCGAGATGATTAATCTTGATGTGACTTGGTGTTCTCTTGATTTTCCTTTCCGATCACTCCCTCACCCGGCCGGCAAGTCAGGCAGTTTTCAATTCACCATCCCAATAAAACCTCGGTGTAAACATATACCGTAAGAAATCAAGATCCACTAATGTTTGACTTTATCGAGTGTTTGATAAAGTCAGACATTAGTGGATCTCGATTTCTTATGGTATATATTTACACCGAGGTTTTAGAGTGCAAGGATCCTTCCGCAACAAAATTTCCTAATTCTCTTAATTTTTTCTAAGTTTCCAAAGATTCTTATGACATAAAACTTGTTGAAATTGCGTTTTCTTATCCAAATCACAATGTGTCTCAATCGCTTTGCATAACTTTCTTCAGCTTTGCATAACTTCAACTTTGCAAAACATTGTTCAATGCTCAAGTGTCCCAAGTCTCTAAGTACAATCCCAATGAATTTTTCATCATAAATCCCGACCCTCCCACATACTTTTAAAAGAGAAAAACATTGAAAAGAAGACTCCGAAGAAATTCTGAAAGAAAAGAAATCCAAAAGAAATCCAAAGAAATCCAAAAGAAAACGTTTTCAAGAAAACGGTAATATGAATCCTTTTCTTTTGGTTGGTGTCTTATTCACTGGAAAAAAACGTTGCCTTTCATAAAATGAGCTGTCCAATTAGTGAAATCGTCCTCTATCTGGCTGGGTGTCGTGTCTTGTGCTCCTCACAAAAACCACACTCAAGTATTCAGAAAATTTCACGGATTTCAATGAAGTTTTTTCAAAAACAAGATTCCAAAATGATTGTGATAGAAAATTTCAATTAGAAAGCGCTTGGCTTGGTTAAGAATTTCGCTAATCATTAGAAATCCCATTGTCTGCTTTCTAGGAAAGCTTTGACCTTAATGATGTGTTTTAAAATGCCAGGATTTGCGTGAAGAGCTAAATTTTCATGCTAAATATTGCTTCAATCATTTTAAACTTTTCCCTGTACTTTGAGTTTACGCAAACATCGATTTTCTAGCACAGTGGGTTTCCTCCTTGACTGTGCAAAGCCGGACTAGACTTGTTAACGAGGGTTAACAAGGCTTCAAGTTTGACCAATCGTATCAGCGCATTAAAAGTTGCTGGTAATCTGAAACCTTTTCTATCAGAAAGCTTAAATTATCAGCTTCCTTTTGATACCAAAAATTGAACAAAAATCTTTAAAAAAGTATTCTAAAAAGGGCCTCTAACAAGACCTAAATTAGACCTCGTTAAGCTGGTAATTTTAAGATTTTTGAGTAATTGTTTAAAGAATTTTGTTATGCTATTGGTATCAAAATGAAGCTGATAATCTAGGCTTTTTGACAGAAAAAGTTTCAGATTGCTAGCAAGTTTCAGTGCGCCGATATGACTGTCCGAACAGGAGCAACCCCAAAATCGTTAGCCATTTCTAAGCTAGACGATCTTTTGACCACAACAAGATTTTGAAGCACAACAAAATGCGTTCATAAAAACACTTGCTTTCTAGCAGATTGCTCATGTTTAGTAAAGTACAAAGCGCAACAAATGCACCAGGAAATAGGCGCTTGCAAGATCATAAAGAGCAGATTTTGCTTCGCTTTTAGATTCTAAATCTAAACTTTAAATTCGGGACTTTCATCTTTGTCATCTTTGTCTTCAATTCAACAAAAAACAAGCATAATTTATTTGGCAAACGGAGAAGATAAAAATCAAGTCAGAAGATAAAAATCAACTCAAAAAAAAAAACTTTGTTGAGGACTAAGAGAGATCAAAAGAGAGGCAAAGAAAAAGCTAAAAATCTCATGAACTAAACAAAAATTTCATTAATCAAATTCAATGAATAAATGCAAAATTATAGAAATTTATTTATTTTTACACAAAAAGAGCCCAGAGTCGCTCGAAATGGCCAAAAAAATGATGGAAATGGTGGAAATGGTTGATCGTGAAAAGAGGTGAATGTGTAGCGCCATTTGGAAGGAAATTTTGGAGATAGAAGAGCCTGAAATTTGAATTTAAATACTTGTAAATTGGATGTAAAAGATTGTAGGTTTTAGAGTGTCACGATCCATCCGTTTCTAAAGATTCTTATGACATAAAACTTGTTGAAATTGCGTTTTCTTATCCGGATCACAATGTGTTTCAATCGCTTTGCATAACTTTCTTCAGCTTTGCATAACTTCAACTTTGCAAAACATTGTTCAATGCTCAAGTGTCCCAAGTCTCTAAGTACAATCCCAATGAATTTTTCATCATAGGCATTTTTCAAAAAACTTACCAACCTTTCCTCTAGCCGAATCGCACAGACGAGGCCCAGCTGTTCGCCGCTCGCTTCCCGAATCGAACCTGGAGGTTTTTCAATGAAAGTATAGACTTTTCGAATTTCATCAAAGACAGGTTATCTCTCTCTTTTACTCAGTTATTGAATCAATTTGTATCTTCTACAAGTTGTACAAGGGAAAGATGCCCAATTCAGCCCTAAGCTTCTGTCAATCAGTCTGTAACTCGAGGTATAGAAATTGAATCGACTTGTAATTAAAAGAATCCTCATTAAATTTGGTTGTAGAAAAGTAGAATTTGTTTTGTATATTTATGTATAAGAACATAGAGAAAATTTGTCTCAAAGTTGTCCTTCCAAATTCCGTAGTTTCCGGAGCCTTCCAAATTCCGTGGCGAGTTTCGGAGTTTGGGAAAGCGTCTATTTTACTCTATATCTCGACAGTCATGCCAGGCCAGTCAAAAGCCAGGCCAGTCAAAAGCCAGGCCAGTCAAAAGCCAGGCCAGTCAAAAGCCAGGCCAGTCAAAAGCCAGGCCAGTCAAAAGCCAGGCCAGTCAAAAGCCAGGCCAGTCAAAAGCCAGGCCAGTCAAAAGCCAGGCCAGTCAAAAGCCAGGCCAGTCAAAAGCCAGGCCAGTCAAAAGCCAGGCCAGTCAAAAGCCAGGCTCTGCCCTGGCTTCTTAGACTTTTTGTGGGTCAGACTTTAGTAAAACTTTTGTAAAGTTTTAGAAAAAGCTCTAGAACAGCTTTATAAAAAGCTTTAGAAAGTAAAACTTTAGAAAATAACTTTTGGAGGAACCCTGTTGGACTTGAATTTAGTCAAAGTCAAAGAACATAAAGCTTAAACTTTAAGCTACCCAAACTACCCAAGCTAAATATTTCTTAATTCAAACTCAAAATGCTCACCTGTGTGGCCCATCGCTTGTACATTTGTGGCAAATCTATGTCAGCGTCAGAGTTCTGAAATTAGCTTTTCAGTTATTTTTGGTTTTTTTGTTCTGCGTCATGAATGAGCTTAAATTGGATGTCCAAAATTGGAATCTCCAATTGGAATCTCTTGGAATGTCTTCATTTATTTAAAGATCCCATTCAAGTCATTCAGTTGCATGAGTAATGGGGTTTTTTTTGAAAAAAAACAGAAAAGCAGAAAAGAAAAGCTGTTCAGTAATTACCGAGTGTCGATTTCTGACATTCATTTCTTTTTCGTTAAATTCTTTTCTTTGGTCATTCATTTCTTTTTGAAGTCATTCTTTTCTTTGGTTGAGTAAGATGGAAAGTTTTTGTTTACAAGAAAGAGAAAGCAATAAATACACTACTGGACCATGAAATATGATATTTGAAAAACGATCGTCACTTTCGCGCGTCTGTAACTCCCTTGTCTTTACCGTATTTCTAAATATTAATATTACCATTGTGTAGCCCTTGAAAAGAGCTTTCAGAAAATGTATAACACTAATAGTTTAAACTCAAAGACAAGGGAGTTACAGACGCGCGAAAGTGACGATCGTTTTTCAAATATGGTATTTCTTTGTCCAGTACTGTATTAGAGAGAATACGGTAAGCGATTTTGAAAAGCTTTCATTTTTGAGGTTTTCGAAGGCCGCAAAGACAAGTAATCAAAATAGCCATTTTCAGAAAACAAGTGACCTAGCGGGTGCTAGATCTAGCGGGTGCTAGATCACTTGTTTGATTGGCAGCTATTCTTAATTTTTTTTTTGCGCAAAAGAAAGAAGAGATCCTTTTACATATTCAGTAAAATTTACAACAAGATCCGTCAAGCCATTTTGTCTAAAAGTTACTCAAAATTGACAAAATTGGTCGTTTTGAACAAATTCAAAACCCATGTTCGAATAATTTCCAGTACTATGTCTAGTACTGAAAGTCAGTTCCATTAGAGTCATTTTTAAGCCAGATTTCTCAGAGTTCAGAGTACTATATTTATCTAAAGTACATTTTATTTTTAATTATATTGCTTTTAATCGCTTTGAATCGATTATCCTGACTTCTCTTGAAAGAATTCAAACTAATTTTGTAAATCTAAATGAACAGAACCCAGTACTGCAGCTAAATTGTTTTAAAGTGTTCTAAAAATACGAAAATACATACTTTCACCCAAATCGAATTCAAAAATCACGTGCAAAACAGAAAAAAGATCCCCTTTGATTCCTAATCTTTCCATTTCCCCCTCCAAATTCCATTCCATTTTTGTTCTTCCAATTCCCATCATTTCATTTTTTTTTTCTTTCCCGGATTAATGGGTATTTCATGGGTCTATGCCAAGAATGATTGCAAATAATCAGTTTTACAATGTGATTCGTGAATCAAGAGTTATTGTCAAACTTTGAATTCGACACCCTCAAATTACCTAGAAAAACAACGTTTGGAATAGAAATTGGTTAATATTAGCTTTTTAGACCTTTTTTAAAACGCGAAAAAAGGTGCGCTAATGGGCAAGGTGCGGAAAAAAAGGTGCGCAAATGTCCGGGTGCGCAAAAAAAAGGTCGCATTTGTCCCACTCCCGAAAGTGTGCTCGAAAGTAATGCGTTTCGAAAGGATGGTTAATTTGGAAAGCGATTTTGATGTCTATTTGAAACATGACTGACTGACTGACTGTTGACTGACTCAAAACAATGATCTACTATATAAAAGAGTATAAAAGAGCAATGTCTGTCCGTCTGTACGAGCTTTTTCTCAGCCGTGTTCTGGCTCTTCTTCAGAATTTTTAAATCTGGCAAAATCTGCTGGATAGATTATGGTATTTTTCACAAAATGCATTACTCAAGAACATTTTCTAACAAGTTTCAGCTTCTTTTTTACGGATTAATTCAAGTTTACCCTGTAAAACTATGAATTTAAAGCGTTATTTCGAAATCTGTTCACTTAGTCAACATCTAATTACCCTAAACATCTAATTTCATCAAATTTCAGCTAAACACCAAAACAAAACAAGTTTCAGCTTCTTTTTTCGCAGATTCAATACTCTAGAAATGAAATTATCACCTCCAAAAATGTCATTTTACCCTATAAATTAGCTGAAACTTTTCATTTTTGAGTGGGTGTTTGAAGCTTTTTTTAATTTAGCTTTAATTAGCTTTTAAACTTTAAATCTAAAGGTTGTATCATTGAATTTGTGAATCTCGAATCTTTAGGGAATAAAACTTTTTCAAAAATTGAAATTCCCCCTTTGAATCAACTCCAATCAACAAAGAGGAAAACAAAAAAAAGAGCCGTCGTGTGGGAAAACGTTTTCTATTTTTGACTCTTGAGTCAATTTTCCGAAACAGCAACTTTTCCCCCTTCTCCTCAGAAATTGCTCTTCACTAAAGTCAAAGAATTGCAGCAAAATCAAAAGAGAGAAAATCTAATTTCTCAATTTTCGACTTTCTAAAGGGAAAAGGCTCTCGATCGTCATTCATTTGGAGAAAAAAAAAGTCAGATGACCAAACGATTAGCTACAATCTAAAAAAGAATGATCAAGAAACGAAAAAGCTCTCTGATTCACCATAATCTAAAGCTAAAGCTGATCTAAAGCTGTTTTGCTGCTTTGCAAAGCTATTTCAGTAGTCGTAGTAGTTGGCTAGTCCAGTAGTTGGCTAGTTCAGGAGTTGGCTAGTTCAGTAGTTGGCTAGTCCAGTAGTTGGCTAGTTCCGTAGTTAGCTAGTTTAGTAGTTGGCTAGTTCAGTAGTTGGCTAGTCCAGTAGTTGGCTAGTTCCGTAGTTAGCTAGTTTAGTAGTTGGCTAGTTCAGTAGTTGGCTAGTCCAGTAGTTGGCTAGTTCCGTAGTTGGCTAGTTCAGGAGTTGGCTAGTTCAGTAGTTGGCTAGTCCAGGTAGTTGGCTAGTTTCGTAGTTGGCTAGTTTAGTAGTTGGCTAGTTCAGGAGTTGGCTAGTTCAGGAGTTGGCTAGTCCAGTAGTTGGCTAGTTCAGGAGTTAGCTATGGCTCAAAAAATCGTCCATTTTCCTTTCAAAGTTTACATATCACTATCTTTTTAGTGATATGTAAACGCAAAAAAAACTGATTTAGTTGTTGACTATCTTTTTTTTGACAAGGAACTGCGTTTGTTCCAAGATTTCAGAATCAAATTTGAAAGCTAACCGGAAAAAAAACAAGGCTTTTCCGATTTCAAACAAGTTTCTTGACCTCAAATCCCATGAACTCAAAGGGAAATTTATGCGGAATTGCGTGTAGAGCAAAAAGAGGATGTTTTCAGGGGAAAGCAATTCGGCCATTCCACTTTTTTGCCATTCAGCCATTCCACTCGTCAAGAAGATTTTAGATTCAGCCCATTGTGTAAATGCGGATCGCTGAACTTCGGGGAGTCATGGTCGGGAATTTTTAAGTAAAAATATCATGTTTTCTAGTTTCAAATGACTAGACGAAAGGATTTTGGGAAAGGTTTCAAGGCGGGAAAGGAAATCCTGTGTTTTTAGATAAAAATCTCATCTACTAAACAAAAATTTCATTAATCAAATTCAATAAATAAATGCAAAATTATAGAAATTTATTTCTTTTTACATAAAAAGAGCCCAGGGTCTCTGGAAATGGCCAAAAAAAATGATGGAAATGGTTGTTGGCTTAACTGGAAATGGTACGAGCTTTTTCTCAGTTGATAGGGAAAATTCAAAATCACTTTAAATTCAAAATCTCTTTAAATACAGAGTGCGGCAGGATTATTGCAATTGCTTCACTAGGGAAGCGCACGGATTGACCGCTGAGTTACGGCCGAGTTACGGTCGAGTTGCGCATTTTATAGGAAAAAAAATGCGCTGATTTCGAATATGCAATCGAAAACCCCAAAAATCTATGTGGAAATCGGTTAAAAATGTCCTCAAAGTTGATGATTAGAAAGATTTTCTCGAACTTCTGACACACCATTTGCGTTTAATGTGGAATTACGCTTCTTACGTGCGATTGCGCTCTCTCTAAAAGTGGCTTATAGCCTAGTGTGGACATTCTATACATTTTTGCTCGCTGATTCGATACCGCTCACGAACAAACTTTTTCTGCTAATGTGTAAAATGATTCAAACAATTTTCAAGGCCATCGAGGCTTTCGTTTGCAACTTAATGGCTTAACTAGTATTAACTAGGCTTGACTAGTACTAACTAGGCTTGACTAGTACTAACTAGGCTTAACTAGTACTAACTAGGCTTAACTAGTACTATTAACGCTAGTGCTGATATCAGTAAGTACCGCTAACCCAACGTAATAGTGATAATCTAGGTTTTAGCAAGAGTTATGGGTAGACTTACCTGTTTAACGTAAATAGCAACTAACGTACGACTATTTAACCAAACAAATGGCCAATGGCCATGGCCTTTCTCAGGCATCCTCTCCGGAGTCAAACCCTGATCCTCCATTACCTGTTACGACCCTGGTAGTCAACTAAACTACCATCAAAAGTTGATAGGGCAGTTAATTTCGCGAATTGCCGCCGCTTACGCATGCGGTCTGCAAGATATTCAGAATCATCACTTGACGCCGCAGCGGTTGGTGAATCTAATAAATGACACCGAAGTGCACACGTGCAT